AATAATAATTATAATAATAATCGGTAATCATATATCATTTGGAGCAATATTTTAGAGTTCATAAGTGTCCGAATTATTCTGTCCTCCTGTGTTGGGTGGTATTATTGAGGTTAGGTGTTGAGTAAGTTCTCGGTTGAGAAAGGGGAAGTCAATCGATAAGATTGTGAAGTTATATCGATTGATTACAGGATTTCATCATGAGCTGACATTGGTTAGAGAACCATTGGAAAAACATCTGGGAGTAGTGGACAGCTGTTTAGTCAGCCTAGTTTGGGACTCTTCATCAGTACGCACTCACCGGGGCTCGAACCCAGGACCTACTAGTTATGCGGCGAGCTCGTAGACCAATGCCTCATGAATTCTAACTCCTGCCAATTCACTACATAGCGCAACCGCTAGCCAATGTCTTTGGCGAGTATTTGTCCTCACTCCTGACCTGCTGCACCCTACTGGTCACGATTTCCCACTAGAATCCCAGGTAACCAGCTACCTGAATAGCTCCAGTCGCCAGTGAGTATCTCATTGATATTCCAGTATTGGTTTATAGAGAACCATTAGAAAAACACCTGGCAGTACTGGACAGCTGGTTCTAACCAATGTCAGCTCATCATGATGAAATCCTGTTACCAATCAATCAAATCCCTACAAACCAATACTTGTATATTGATTGGGATAGCTAGGATATGTGTTACGCATACTGAGCTACCGCTTTTCTCAAGATGGGTGGTGACGTTAGCTAACATCGGATGGATGGATATCAGGTTGGAAGGAAAAGAGAGAAAGCTAGTAGTGGTGGTAGTCAAAACAAACAAAACTTTGCTTCACCACTCAATGAAATCCAAAACAGACAGTTTAGGCCAGCCGGCCATGTCTGATGAGGGTCCTCCGGATGATAAGAACCAATGGCGACTGGTGACAATTAGTGAAATGGCCAAAAAATTGTTCTCGCTAATGGCTCAGTAGCACTGATGTTTTATGATTTATCGTATCCAATAAAACTATGAATCAATCAATGTTTGAGGTGGAAGAGTTTATGTTGCTACCCAGTTAGTTAGTCAGTGAGTTAGCTGTCCAGGTTGCAGGTAGTAGAATGGAGGCGGGTCGAAGCGGAATGGCGATGAAGTAGGTGGGCGTGAATATCAAGTTGAGATAAGGCCTTTATTCAATATGACACACCATTTTTGATTATACCTTATCGTTATCTCGTATTGTCTTCAAAAACACAAAAAGAACGGACGCCTATTGATGAATACTTTTCAAGCTATTACTATATTTACTTATTTATATATTGATTTGTTTGTTTATTGAATCGTTTGACTGTTTGTTTGTATAAGACTATGTTTGTTGTGATTTTCTCTCTCTCTCTCGATAAATTCTTCGTCTCAAAATCAAAGCATTCGTGTGTGTATAATATAATCGATATATTCTATAATCAATAATACTAATAATAACAGTAATAATCAAACCCCGTACCACCTATCCATCCAGTGACACCCTCATAATCTAGAGAGAAAAGGATTTTTTTAAATAAGTGATTTCAGAGTAATTTATATCTAAAATTTTATAAACTTTTTCAAGCATCGATTTGACTGAATAGAACATTTTACATTGAAGTGTGTGTTAGCTGATGTAGGATTCAGTTGGATGAAGGGTCTAGGAGTAGTCTCGATCCATGAAGTCTCTTTGACAGGTCTGAGGTTTAAGCCGCTCCCCCCTCCGAGCCATGTAGAGAGACATGTGTGTGTGTATGTGTAGACGACTGCCTGGTTATGAGGTCGTGAAGGTGCAAAGAACCAATGGCCCAGAAATTTCTAAAACCATGCAGTATAGTGTTATTATTATTATTATCATCATCCGTTCCCTGCATTGCGAGTGGAACATGAAGCAACAACAGCACATCTCCAATGCTGTCAGTCCCTTGGCTCTCATTTTTCAGCTTTCGTTTTCTACTCACATGATTCCCTCCTCCATTTCACTGTCAGTCCCATGCCCATTTCGTCGCTTCCCGTTCAGGCTACATCACTTGAGAGGCTGACATCGTATGCATTTCCTTCGACTGCGTATGCCTGATGTGCAATAGGTCGTTGGTTGGTTTACTAGAATTTCTTGTTGCTTATCCCTTCTGGTTAGTCATCTGATCTTCAACATCGAGCCAAGGGGACGGGGTGGAGGTTGTGATGAAAGTCTCCAGCTTGTTATGTATTCTTATTACTGTTAACTTATATGTAATTGCCAAAGCCGACTTGTTCTAGTCTGAACACAGGAATTCCTTCTTTGCATCGTCTTACTTATTATAACTGAGTGAAACTTTCTTGAGAAACACATAGTCACAGTACTCTCCAAAGACGGCAAAGAGACGGCTATTTGTCGTTAGATCTATGTGTGGGGTTCTATTCAGCAGCAAGAATAACTTGGAAAACTCCACACTGCCGTCATCCAGCTATATGCAGTCAAGATAATAATAATTTACGCCGTCTCTGGCGTAGACGTGATATCCGACTATGGACCAAAGGGCGTGTGTACTGCTCAACAGTCCGCTCCGTCCTCCTTTATGGCTGTGAGACCTGGCCATTGAGAACAGAAGACATGAAAAGATTAGCTGTCTTCGATCATAGGTGTCTGCGTTCCATCTCCCGCGTGAAGTGGTATAATAAGGTGAGCAATATTGAGGTTAGGCGTCGAGTGCTAGGTAAGGAGCGGAAATCAATCGATGAGACTGTGAAATTACATCAACTGAGATGATTAGGACATGTGTTTCGTATGCCTAGTCATCGCCTTCCTCGAGTGACGGGCAATGTTAGCTGATATAGGGTCAGGCTGGAAAAGAGCTAGCGGCGGTCAAACGAAAACATGGCACCAGTCAATGAAATCTACAACAGTTAGTCTAAGCCAGCCACGTAGGAAGATGTAAACTTCCTGGTTGGGGTCCTCGAGACGGTAAAAACCAATGGTTGGAAACAATTGGTGATAAGGCTCAAAGTTGTTCTCAATGGCTGGCTGGTGCAGCTGCATCCACTCCTTGTGACTTATGATTTCCAATGAAACTATATTGTTCTTCGTTATTACTATTCCTTTGTCTCACACCTCTGTTTACTGTCATTATTATGCATTTCTTCTACTTTCTTCTCTTGCTTTGTGTGCTACATGGAGTGGAGTGTGGCGACTTGAACTGCCGCACATATGTGCAAAGTTCTATGTCGAATACCGACCGACCGACCAAGATACTAAGTACAGGTATTGTAGAATAAATAAAATTATTCAAGCAAAATCCAACCTTAGAATCAAGTAGAATTATTCCCAACAAGGTGGGATCAGCAAGCATGACACAACAACAACAACTCCTGCGGACAGTCGTCCAATGTCCGATATACTTTGATTCACTCAAACAACATCACATCATGAAACAATACATTATCATGGTATCGTACAACCGAAAAGTGAAGCATAAACATTAGAGATTAAACAGTTGATAAAGACACATAATGAGGATCAAATCAACATATGATATGCAAACATCAAAACAGTGATATACAGTGTGGGAGAAACATGGATATTAATTACAAAGTTATTGAAAACATCCAAATAAGTTTCAATATTGACTGACTGGTTTCAACATAGAAGTTTGCACTGATGTGCAGCAATTTGAGTTGCCACACTTCAATTAGCACATAAAACAAGAGAAGAAAGTAAATAGAAATGCAAAATAGACACAGTAAACAGAGAATTGTGAGACAAACAGAATAGGAATATCGAAGAACCATATAGTTTCATTGAGTATTATAAGTCACAAGGAGTGGATGCATCTGCACCACTGAGAACGATTTTGAGCCAGCCATATCACCAGTTGTCTCCAGCCTTCATTGGTTTTTACCGTCCCGACCACCCCAACCAGCCAGTCAGGAAGTCTACACCTTCCCACGTGATTGACTGACTGGCTTAAACTAACTGTTGTGAATTTGATTGACTGATGAACCCATGTTTTGGTTTGACCACCACTAGGCAGTTCTTTTCCAACCTGATCCATCCTATGTCAGTCAGCTAACATTGTCCATAGTCGAGGAAGGTGATGCCTAGAGTTGCATACGTAACACATGTCCTAACCATCTCAGTCGATGTAGCACCACAGCCTCGTCTACTGATTTCCCTTCCAACTCACCTAGCACTCGACCGATGTCTAACTTCAATATTGCTCACCCTAGTATACCACCTAGCACGCATGGGAGATAGAACGCAGGCACCTATGATCAAAGACAGCTAGCCGCTCTTTTAATGACTTCCACTCTCAATGGCCATGTCTCACTCACAGCCATAAAGGAAGACGGACCTGACTACTGAGCAGTACACTGGAATATGCGAAACGAGTACCCGCATTGAAATTGGATCGTTCAGGAGGGACTTTCCAAACAATTATTGTGTTAGGTAAATTGATGAATGTTGTCTAGCAGTGGATGGAATCCAGGACAACGTGCGTTACGTCCCATCTGCGATTCATCAACTGGATCTACCTTCACTCCTCATTGAGTCAGTGATGGCAATTCCACTGAGGCTCGAACCCGGGGCCCGTAGTTTCAAACGCGAAAGGGTTATCCACTAGACCATTTGGGCCACGAGAGTCACCTCTTGCGCAACGGGTAGTAGTAATTACTTAATTCAAGTAATACCTATAGTCAGTCGGTTCGAGTCTCAGTGAAAATGACATCACTGACTCATTCGGAAATGTAGGTACATCCAGTGGGCTGACGAGTCCTAAACAGGACGAAGTGCTCGTTGTCTCGGATTCCATGCACTGCTAGTCACCATCCACTAATTTACTTCAAGTTAAATAATCAGACATTGTCGAAGCATCTTCACAAATAGCTGACATGTCACGACAGAGTCCGAATACTTCGGTTCTCATCAATCAACAGGGAAGTTCAAATTGAACTAAAATAAATCATTCCGTTACACATAATCATATGATGAATATCTCTCATCTTTGTTTTGTATGTCTACATTTTTAGGTGTTAGCAATTCAGCTGGCTTGTTTCAATGAAATCATTAATATTGGCTATTTAGTTTATCGATCACACGATCTACCATGGTTTCGACCATTATCATGGTATTTTCTGTTCACATCGAATTATTATTTATTCGGGGAGAGTTTGATTGCACGATTTCGGCTACTCTTGGCGAAAGAAGTAAGTGTTTTCTTCCGGTTGTCATTATTGTTATTATTGAGATACTGTCGTAATTATATTCACCCGTTTCATTTGTTCTCTTTGTATAAAAGTTATCTAAATGTTAAGTGAAAAATGGGGCTATATATACTACTGATTGTTTGGTGATTTAAGTAGGTGGGTGCTACTCACATTACTCAACCAGCAGTACTTGCTTTGTTGCTTGCCTGCCAGCCAAATCGAAGTAATCGGATAGTTTGAGCTGAGAGACAGACCTGGGTACACTGCTGATAGGGTAGGCTTTACTTCAAACGAACGAAATAGCCAGCCAGCCTGTGTGCATCAGTAGTACAGTGGTTAGGACGCTCAATAACCACCATGCACATGGTCTGGGGGTTCGATCCCCGGCCGACGCACACCTGATATATCAATGGTCAGCCTGCTAAATTTGGGCTACCGATATCACATGCTGAAAATTCCCTACTTGTATCAAAAATACTGTGGTAGAAATATTCATTCAGACATCTATAAAACACAAAATAATTGAGCCAGCAAAGAATATCCCCCGTTCGATAATTTCCTCCTCTTCTGGATCTACAATTATATACGTATATGTTTATATACATAGAATATTCTAGAATAGTAGTCAATAACAATATTAGTATCTTTTAAATAATATCGATTTGTTAAGTAAGATCACAGTGGAGTTACAGCTCATTAAAGATGGATAAATTATAATAATAAGAAAGATATAGTAGCAAATAGAATATCAACTAAAAGTAGGGAAATTCCACAAAAATTCAGGATCACTCCAACCTAGATTACGAAGGTGAGGATAATGTTTGAATTAGCTTCTTTTGGATGCACAAATTAGGCCTGTTGATATGGATCCCAACAGCCTTGGCAATATTTAGTAATCAAACTCTTAAAGCGAAATTGAGATTTGTTGGTATGCGCTAAATGACTCTGAAAGCATAGTTAACATCATTTCACCTTAAGAGTTCGACTATTACTATTACCCTGCACAATATACAATGAAGTGATTGCGTTGGTTGGTTGGCTTGTGTGCTGCATCTATTTTAAACGGTCTTAATATATTCTAACTGTTATTTCAGAGATATTCTTTGTATGTGGTAGAGTAAACTTTCTTGTGGTCTTTGATGATGGTTTCTTGCTGGTATTAAGACTTGATGAAATTGTGTGTGTGTGTGTGGGGGGGGTATTCTTTATTTATGAGGACATTCTCTTCAGCATCGGAATGCTACAATGTGTTTGAAGTCTTCTAATCAATGTCTGCATACAGTTTCTTTTGTGAGTAATTAGGATATTGCTATTATAGTTGAGTATTTGTCCCGTGTGTGTGTGCGTTGATTTTCTATATATTTGTGTTTCTAAGTTCCCAAACACTCTCGACATCACTTGTCGTATAAAATGACTGCTGTAGGTCATTTCAAAGCTTTAGATAGGACTTTGTAGAAAGCTTAACTTTTAATACATCTGTTGAAGTTAGACCAATGAGTACCAGTCAGTGAATTGTGGAAATTGAGCTTGTCGGCTTAAGTGTGTTTGACCAACAACTCATATGTGTATTGATTTCAAAAGCCGCTCTAACAACTACTTCGATGGGGGCGTTTTGAGCCCTCACACATATAGTGATTGCCTAATACGCGTGTATTGAATGGATTGAATTACATTGTGGTGGACTGGATTATGCGTCAGACAGTGGGAAACGAGAAGACAGGGATACCCTGGACCGACATGAAGAACCTAGAAGACCTTGATTTCACGGATGATTTATGTTTGATGTCACACAAAATCTAAGACTTACAAGCGAAAACCGACAAACTGGTCGAAGAAGCAGCCAGAGAAGACAGGACTCCAGGTGAACATAGACAAGACGGAGGTTATGAAAATAACCAACCAACCAACAACAACAGCAGCAACATACAGCGCCAATCACCATCAACGGGAGGGATTTGAAAGAGGTTACTTCATCCACCTATCTAGGGAGCATTGTCTCAACCACAAGAGGAACAGACGAGGATGTCAAGTCGAGAATCGGGAAGGCGAGAAACACATTCATCAACCTGAAACCAATCTGGAAATCTTCCGTTGTCACTCAGCATCAACAACAAAATTCGAATTTTCAATACAAACGTCAAGTCAGTCAGTTCTTCTAATCGGATCAGAAACTTGGTGGGTCACAAAGAACATTTCCAACAGGTTGCAGACCTTTATCAACAACTGTCTTCGCCCTATACTACTGAAGATCAGATGGCTGGAAAGAATCACCAACAAGAAACTATGGGAACAAACAAAACAAGAAACAATCACGCAACAAATATGTAGGAGAAAATGGAGATGGATTGGACACTCGCTGAAGAGGCCGCTGGGTGACATCGCGCGTCAGGCCAATGCTCGAGTGGAACCCGAAAGGGAAGTGGCGAGTGGGACGTTTAAGGGTGACATGGAGGAAATCATGTGAAGAAGAGTTGAAACAGTATGGACTAACACGGATGCAGGTGAAAAGCACAGCAGTGGACAGCAGCAAGTGGAGACGTGCAGCTGAAGACCTATGTTCCACTATGAACCCAAGGGAACAATAATAATAATAAAATACATCATTATTTTTTTATTATCATTAGAGTCGGTCCTTATTACATAACTTCGTTTACCATTAAATTATTATTCCTTTGGGTTCCGAGTGAAACTTTTAGCTTCATCAACATATCTCTACTTTGTGTTCTTTTTTCTGCTTCACTCTTCAGCTGGCTAACCACACAATTGCCCATAATCTCTCATCTCCTCCTCGCCACACAATCTGCTCTATATCACCCTCGCACCAACACCCTACTTGTCGCCTCCCATTTGGGTTCCAGTCGAGCGATGGCATGGCTAGCGTGCGTCCAACCCATCCATCCCCATTTCTTTCAGGATACTGATTGAGCAATAGCTTCTTAATTGGTTCGTTCCCAGAGTTTCTTGTCGCTAATTCTTTCTTTGTGATCGGCTGACCAACTGGCCATCTTCGGTATGGAGTCCGCGGAAGAGGCAGCTGTTGATAAAAGTCTACAGTAGCCTGCTGGAAATGTTTTTCAAGATGCACGCGCCAAGTTTCTGACCCACAAAGAAGAAACGAATGACTTAACTTTTGTTTTGAAAATGCTGACTAAGTGCAGAAGATTTCCATATTGCTTTCAGAGTGACGAAAGTTTTTCCCGCCATTCCGATCTTGACTGTCTTTGACGTCTTCGGTTGTTCCACCTTCCTGTAGTTGAAAAGATGCTTCCTAGAGATGTAAAGGAAGTGGTTTCTTTCAATTTTTCCCCATTTATAGTGATTGGTGCTGGTTGCTGTTGCTGTTGGCTGGTTATGTCTTCACCTCTGTCTTCTCTATGTCCATTTGAAGTTCTTTCTTCGCTGCTTCGTCAGACAGTTTGTTGTTTTCCGCCTATAAGTCCTCGAGTTTGTGTGACATTAGACATAAATCATCCACTCCTGAAATCCGAGTCTTCTAGAGTCTTCTTATCGGTGATCCAGCGTACTCCTGTCTTCTCACTCCCAGGCACAGTCTGACGCATAATCCAGTCCACCACAATTCGGAATGTCGTTGTGAGTGATAATAGACAGCAGCCTTGTCTTACTTCTGTATTCACGTCAAAGGCTTCGCCGTATGAATCATCTGACACTTGGCATTGTCATATAGTTGTTGAATGAGGTTGATAAAGATTTTCGCTCCTCCATAGTTTTGAAGTAGTTTCCAGATTGCTCCGCGGTCAACGGCATCGAAGACCTTTTTGAATTCGATGAAGTTGATGTAGAGGTTTGACTGCCATTGTATGCTTTGTTTCATAATGATGCGTAGAGTTATAATTTGATCCGTGCATGATTCGCATTTTTTCTGAATCTGGCTTGTTCTGGGCGGTGGGGCGGAGTTCTGCATCCAGTACATCCTTTATTCTCTCCAGGATGATGCGACTTAGTATTTTACTTGGCCTGGACAAGAGCATGATTCGTGCCAGTTCTTGCAAGAACGCTATATATACATTGCGCAACCGCCAGTCAGTGTCATAGCGGAGTAAATTTTCTCTTACCTGTCTAGGTGGATCCCGCCGGATACGACTTTTCACTAGAAACCCAGTGGGTGCGTGCGTATTCTTGAAAAGTTCCAAACCAGGGCGAAAAAGCTGTGCAGTAATCTCAGGTTTTCTATTGGTTCTCTAGCTGATGTCAACCCGTGATCACACTCGAATCAAATTCCTACAAACTTTGGATATTTACGTGGCTCATTGAAGAAGCGGAAGGTACTCAGGGGATGAATAATAAGCGTATTTACCATATCAGTTGAGATGTTCATTACGTTTGACGTTATTTTTTTTCCTTCACCTTCCCCAGTGGAACACAGGGCTTCAAGCTAGTGGCTTGAAGTTTCTGTAGCAGTGTTTATTTTACAGGATAGGGTTGCTAGCCTCATGCCCAACCTTTCCTCTTTACCAGCATTATCTCTGGCTCAGGGAGGTAAAGGAGTGCGTCGGCCGGGGATCGAACCCCGGACCACATGGATGGTCGGCGAGCGTCCTAACCGCTATACCACCGACGCCGTTTGATGTTATAATATCCACATATTTATTGACTCGGTCATATCAATTGTCATCGGGTTCCAATCAACTTGTTGTCAGTTCGTGAAACAAAGTCTACCTTGAGAATATTAATATTATTACATATTCGTTGTTATAAAAGTCCTTTTTGTATTTCCCAATGAATGAATGAATGAAAAACAAAACCATAGTGTCTTTGTTTTTACTGACTTTTCGCTATTTAATTAATGCTGCTAATGCTAATAGCTTTTTCAAAGTGGTATTGTTAGACCAGAAGAATTTACAAAATCTCAGGTCATATATGACAACTTAAGCATCATTCACCAACAGGGGGTAATTTTTATGTTTTTGTCAAGTTGGTCAATTGGTAAAGACAACAAAACCATCATGTGTAGATTGTTGGATTTGATAGGCGTATACAATTATAAAAGCACTGTGTGTTTACGTAATGAAATTGCTTATCACATTCGTATTAATTTTGTCACTTCATGGGGGAGGGAGGTGTTATAACCAGGTCAAATTCTGTTTTAGTCCATCATTCCTATTCAAACAGTTGGGATTCCATTTGATGATATGAAGTGCTTCTGATGATATTAGACGTTCTTTGTGATTTCTGAAATGCTTTTTCTGGATGAGGATTTCAATGTTGTCAAAATCAATTTTGTGACCTGATTCTATTGTGTATCGTGTAGACGACCTATGGCTGATGATTTTGCAGGCTTTTCTAGTTCACTAACTGGATTTCTCGGTGGTCAAACAGAGGCGGCTCTATGGTGTTCATCATCCTTTCTGATTTTGATTTCTCTCTGGAGATGTTTGTCCGATGTATATGGCATCACATTCCAACCATTTTATTTTGTAGACACAATTAGATAGAGGATCTTTAGGGAATTGGTCTTTTATATGGACAAGGTTGTTTCGCAGTGTATGAGTCTGATGTTTTGAAGAAAACTCTGATGTCGAGATCACTGAGTATTCTTCTGATATCTTTTGACGTCTCTGATGATCCATATGGAATGACAACTGTTGAGGTCCATGTTTTCGGAACACGTTTTCGATCATACTTAATGTCAGTGTTGATTTTGTTGATGAAGTTCGTTGGGTAGTTATTTTTCTTGAGAATTTCAGTAATGTTTGGTATTTCTTCTTTTTCTTTCTCATCCGTTATCAGAGAGGGTGCTCGTTTAAAAGAACTTGTAACAACTGAAATCTTTGCGCTGATGGGGTGTGATGATTTGAAGTGTAAATATTTATTTGAGGGGGTTTTCTTCCTGAATATAGATACATTAAAATTTCCTTTTTCCCTCCTCTTAACTAGTCAGGCACTCTAGAAATGGTAGTTCAACGACGTCTGATTCTGCTTCCAAAGTAAACTGGATGTAGGGAGATAGATTGTTTTAAGTCTCTCCAAGAATGTATTGTGTAGATCTTGTTTTAGCACAACAAAAGTATCATCAACGTAAATTTGAAAACATGTTATCTTCAAATGTATTCTTGTTATCATTAGCAATTAGCCAACTGGACGACATAAAAATCAAAAGTTACCCCATGCGTTGATGAACGATGATTTAGTCTACCATATAGACATGATGAGATTTTATAAATTCTGGTTTAACAATACTACTGTGATTTTCAGTAGTTAGTTTGTAAGGATTAGATTTGTTTTTACGAGTTTGATCACGGATTGATATCACTTAGAGAACCATTGAAAACCAGCAAGCAGTACTGAACAGCCGTTTCATCCTAGTTTGGGACTCATTGGCAGTACACACCCACTGCTACGTTTGGAACCCAGGACCTTCCGAATACAAGGCAAGCTCGTTGACGATTCAGCCACCGGGACCCGACTACTCAGTGGCCCATGAATTCTAACTTCACGAATTGGTAGAAGTTAGAATTCATGCAGTGGCCATTGAATCGGGTCCCAGTGGCTGAATGGTATACGAGCTTGCCTTGAAACCGGAAGGTCCTGGGTTCGACATCTGGTTGTGGGTGCTTACTACCAATGATTCCCAAACTAGGCTGATGGAACAGCTGGCTGTCCAGTACTCCCCATCTGGTTTCCAATGGTTCTCTAAGTGATATCAATCCATGATCAAACTCGAAATATACTACTTTGATAAAGCTATTAGTATTAGCAGCATTAAATAGTGAAACGTCAGAAGAAAAAAAACAGCAACAGTATCGTTTTATTTTTTCATTCATTAGGAAGTACAAAAAGAACTTTTATGATAATAATAATAATAATAATAATGAATATCACATATACTGAATGCCCAGCTGTTGTTTTTATCTCTCAAACTGTTCAAAAGTGAGCTTGGTTTGGACAACATATAAATAAATTACAGTGTTATATGGAAAAAACACATCCTGTTTCTCTTTACTTCCCCCTTCTGTTACCTCTTCTTCCTCTTCTTCTCCTCAATATTAAAAAAATATATTCTTATCTCAACAGGATTTTCTTCAACCGTGGATCACACATCATCAGTTTATTTCCTTCTCGTTATACTGTGCTGGAATTGTTGGATTTGTTCTAAGCTTAGTGAAGCGTCATTATATTAAACAGTTCACACTGGTAAGTTAGCTCATAATAGCAATAATAATAATAGTTTCTGTTTACTTTGGCGTTGTTATATCAGTAAAATCAATAAATTATTTTTAATCATTGCATAATGAATGTTTTGTTATTGTTCTTAAATGAGTTTCTCCAACTGCCAAATGTAAGGTAATTATGCTACAGGACTGGACTGGACTGGACTACATTGACTCACTCCCAGCTTAGAAATAGGGAGTGAAGTGGTAGAGTGCGTTGAACACTTCACTTATTTGGGTAGGAAGTTGCATCAACCAGCCCCCAGGCGGGTTGATCACTGACGAAATCCCAGCATGGATACAGAAGGCTAGTTTCGCATACGCCAGTTTATGCCGTCTCTGGCTTAGTAGACTTGATATCCGGCTGGCTGGCTGGCTGGCTGTCGACCAAAGGGCGTGTTTACTGCTCAGCAGTCCACTCCGTCCTCCTGTATGGTTGTGACTGAGACCTGGCCATTGAGAGTGTGTAAGACATGAAATGGCTGGCTAGCTATCTTTAATCATAGGTGCCTGCGTTATATCTCCCGTGTGAAGTGGTGGTATAATAGGGTGAGCAATGTTGAGGTTAGACATCGGTCGAGTGCCAGCTAGGTAGGTGGGAGGGAAAATCAATCGACGAGGCTGTGAAGTTACATCGATTGAGATGACTAGGCTATGTGTTACGCATACGTTCCTAGCCATCGATCGCCTTCCTCGAGTGACAGGAAATGTTAGCTGACTGATATAGGCTTGATCAGGTCGGAAAAGAGCTAGCAAGTGGTGATCAAACCAAAACATGACTTCATCAGTTAATGAAATCCACAACAGTTAGTTTAAGCCAGCCAGGTAGGAAGGTGTAGACACTTTTCTTCGTGAATATATATGGTATGTTATTCACCTGGCTTCACTACCTTACTCTGATTGAGCGTTCTAAGGTCTCTGGTGCGGTGTTGACGCCTGTCGAATGTCTAAAGTTTGACTTCGCGCCAAATTACTTCTTCTATTTATACTGTTCTCATAAGTTCGAGGTGGAGTACAGGACTTCATGCTTGCTTGAGCTTTGAAGTTTTGGTGGCAGTGGGGGGGGGCGGGGTTACTAGCCTCACGTCCAACGTTCCGTTTTTATCGAGCCTACTACTGCCCCTTAGCAGTGTTTAGAAATTCGTCGGTGGCCCGTGGATTGGATCCCAGCCCACGTGTGACGTGATTTTCGGGTGTTCTACCTCTGAATTATCGACGTTTCAAATGGTCACGAAAAATATCCATTTATTCATAAGTAAAAACACAGTTTTTTTTTCAGCGAAGAAATTCGTTGAAAAGAAATTTCTTCGCTGAACAAAAACTGTGTTTTAAATGGTGACAAGTTATTTCTGTTGTTTTTATTAAAGTAATCTTGAATTGTGTTTAAAAAAATATTTTCTAAATCTTTTTTGTTATTCCTTTAGTTTGGCTGGACCCATGTTACATTACTCATCTTTGTGACGTCATCATACTTCTGTATAGAGAATATATTCAATGGAATGATCTGGTAAGTTCTTTTTTTTCTTCGATAAATTTCATTTTATTGCATCAAGTTTCCCCTTATCCGCATCGTCCTGCTCCTCATCCCCTACTTCTTTATCTTCCTCTTCAACAAGTTGAGCGTATGTCCATGCAAGTGTGAGAGATATGGCGAAGAAAACGTAGGTCTTATGTGCAATCATTAAGTCAGGTCAATTAAAAGACCGGAAGTGGATATATGTCCTACTGAAGTGATTAGTACGACACCGACACTAGCTGCGCCGCCGGGTACTCCAGCGCCACAGGGTCCTATTGTGGTGAGAGCTGGCTGCAAGCCAATATTGTAGACAGCAGTTTACGTCAATTTTTCGTCTCGAATCGGGGAATGTGAAAAAACAATAGTATAGCCTAACTTTGAGGAACTCACCGACCATTCACAGCAGACTTAACGTGTGCAAATACGATTCGCAGATACATGGCTTAACCTTTTGACAAACTATCACAAGCAGTACAGAATAACCTTCCGCAAGAAAACAACCAATCAGAAGACGTTACCCCTCTACTAACAATAACGCTAATAATAATGTACATAAAAATCTATAAATATCTGTTGATTTTCTCAATAAATGATCTGTTGTCTGGCCTTTGTCTTCTGTCGTTACACTATGATAAGCGCAAGTGGTACGTACAACTTGAACTTTCAGATGAAGGAGATACTCGAAGCGCACTTCACTTGAGATTTTGAATGTGACTCTTTGAAATGCAGCAGACATTAATAGTTGAGGCTTTGTAATGTTTTGGTTAGAGCTGCCTGTTGTCCCATATCCCATCAGTGTGTGAGCATTGTTGGTGGCAAGCTTGAATGCGAAACATGGTCTCAGGATATCCGTGTTAGATATGACTCAAGGGATCTAGCAATGATACCATCACTCACTGGGGATCGCAGGTACCTTTTGCATTCCACTGCTAGTCACCACCCACCCCCCATCGCGCCAAATTACTCTAGGTATCAATATGTGATTAAAAAAATACATTGTCCATAGACGCCACTTTCTGGTAAGTTATTCTGCTGCATTTTTAAAACTCGTTGTAATCTAATTTTATAAAAGTCGTATCTTCCCAATGTTTTCTCCGACTGGCTATAGATTGTGAATTTTGCTCCATTCACGGACGTTTCAATGTTAATCTAGACAATCTTATCAGTGCGACAATTACACACACTTATGCTCATATTCGTAATTTCGAATGTCTTATTTCCTTATAGGTTCCTTCTGCCCGTCTGTTTAGTGATATGCAATGATATAATGGCCTATGTGTTTGGCTTTTTCTACGGGAAGACTCCATTGATTAAGCTGTCACCGAAAAAGACCTGGGAAGGTTTTATCGGTGGTGGCCTGTCGACAATTGTCTTCAGTCTGATCTTTTCATATATCCTGTTGAAATTTGATTATTTCGTCTGTCCAATTGAATGGGATGATGCTAAGGGAGCGTTGACAATGAATTGTACAAGGAATCCTGTGTTTGTAGCACAGACGTATAATTTACCAAAATATTTGGTAAGTATGATTTTCTTTATATATGTATACCGATTAGTAATGGAGAAGATTTTTAACTCAGGTAGGTCGTATTGGTGGCGTGGTTGGTTTCTCTGAGCAAGATGGTTCGATTGCTAAACTGCCATTCTCTTTCTAGGCCAATGTCTTCAGTGCTAACTGTAATGTGATATGAAATTTTAGAACTCTCTATGAGTTTCTCAGTGCGTTGGTGGTTCGATGGTATTTAGATCGCCGACCAATCACTTAAGCTGTTTGGGGTTCGATTCCCGTCGACGCGTGCCGATAGTAAGTTCGAGAAACAAGCATGATTGAGTGTGAAGCTAGTAATCCCGCCCTTATGCCATCTCTGGCGTAAATGTGATATCCGTCTGACTATCGACCAAAGGACGTGTGCGGTGCTTAGCAGTCCGCTCAGTCCCCCATTATGGTTGTGAATGAGTCATGGTTATTGACAGTGGAAGACATGAAAAGAATGGCTAGTTGTCTCTCGTATTAGGTGGTGCTACAATAGGGTAAATAATATTCAGATTAGGCGTCCAGTGTGAGTGAGGTAAGGAGAGAAAATCAACCAATGAGGTTGTGAAGTCACATCGATTGACATGTTAGGACATGAGTGGCGCATTCCTATCATAGTCATCAGTCATCTTCCACGATGGATGGGCATTGTTAGCTGACGGACATAGCATGGATCAGGTTGGAAAAGAACTAGCAAGTGGTGGTTGTCAAACCGAAATATGGCTTCATCAGTCAATCAAATCCATAACAGTTAGTTCAAGTCAGCCAGACGGACAGCCACACACTCACGTAGGGAGGTATAGACTTCCTCACTGACTGACTGACCGACTGGTTGGGGTACTCGTGATGATGGTGAGAACCAATGAGGCTGGAGACAATTAGTGATATGGTTGAAAATCCTCGTTGTCAATGACTGGCGCGGATGCATTCACTCTTTGTGATTTGCCAGTCATATCCAATCAAAGTACTGTAATGTTCTTCCAACATATTACTATTCTTTTTTCCTCGCTCACACTTCTGTTTATTATGTATCTCCCTTTTACATCTCTCTTCTCTTTCTTTGTTTGCTACAAGGCAGGGGAGTGGCAACTGATATCTATGGTCGGCCTGAATTTGGGCTACCGATATCCATGCTGAAAATTCCATACTTGTACTGAAAATACGGTGTGGAATCAAGCTGTAAATCAAAAATAAAAAAATAAATAAAATAAACTCGAGCTGCTGCACGTCTGTGCAAAGTTCTCTGGAACCATTCAGTCAGGCACCTGACATATATGCAATGTTAATTATACAACTTCAGTACCAGAAATATTAAAAATTATTATTTGACGACCTGAAATAACCTGGAATAATAAGTACATATAAAATATTTTGAAATTTATGTGTAAGCACTTTCATCATATAATTATAAGCAATTAAGTGTGTTCGAAACGTGATCATCAGTAAAGGAATGACACTATATTGCTTACATTGTGTGTATGACATTAAATAAAATTATTTTATTATGGTATCATATATTCTGTTTTATCACAATGCCCAAAGTGCATCTGTGGCTTAGTGGTAAAATGCTCGTCAGGCACGCATGTGATTCGGGGTCCGATCCCCAGCCGCCAACGCACTCCTTTACTCCGCTTAGCCTAGTAATCAGACTAGTAAAGATAGAAGGCTGAAAATAAGCATCACTGCTACAGAAACTTCAGGCCTCTAGCTTGAAGCCCTATGTTCCACTGGGAACGTAAAGGAACAAAAGAAGTGCCCAACTGAAGTTTCAATGGGAAACTTTGCACAAAATTGGAACAGTTGAAGTTATCCGACGAGCTGACTGATTTCAAGATAGAACTTTGCAACCATTCGGGTTGCCACTCTCACCTTACCGATGGCTACTACCTTGATGTGGTGGTGGTGGTCGGGCTTGCATATCGGAATGACCTAACAAGTTATACTTGCTGGAACTAATGTTCCTGCCGGTCCTACTGTGCCAGGAAGATTGTTAGGATAGCGATTAGACTAAAAGTAGTTACCACATGTATAATGTAAGCTATTTTTTACACTATGCTTGGGGTTCGTTGGGCGAAGTCGTATTTCTGAGTAACAGGGATTTAACACCAGTAAGGTGGTGAAGGCGTCGGTGGCATAGCGGTTAGGACGCTCGCCAACCATGCACATGGTCCGGGGTTCGATCCCCAGCCACCGACGCACTCCTTTACCTCGCTAAGCCAGAAATAATGCTGGTGAAGAGGAAAGGTTGGGCATAAGGCTAGCAACCCCATCCTGCCAAAATAAACACTGTTACAGAAACTTCAAGCCACTAACTGGAAGCCCTATGTTCCACTGGGGAACGTGAAGGAAAAAAAAGGTGGTGAAGACCAGCATGTTACTTATGCTGTCTCTCGACTCTGGAGACATGGAGGAAAGGGTAGAAAAGATGGTCCCAGAGAATGGTACATCTCGGCCTACCTTAAAGCGGTCCGTAATCGATGGTAAGTTACTAATAAGGAATCAAACCTAAAAGCCAGTTCAAGTTACCGCACACCATACAACACAAAAAGGTAGAGGAAAATAAAAAAAAACATTCAATGAATAACTATGTGGAGAATAGTGCGCTCTTCATGGGAGTAGGATTATCCAGAGAGTGAATACACTTCTGCCATCTTAAGCCACATTACCAACAGTCTCAAGTTGTTGGTTCCTAGTATCACCACGGCCACACTCAGGTAGTCTACGCATCACTATGTGGCTAAAACCAAAAGTCGAAGACTTCATAAATTGACGCGATGTTTTGATTTGATCACCCCCTTAACTCTTCCAATTTAATCACACATTAACCAACATTATTCAACGAGAAAAGAGATGGTTTGACATGCATAACATGTGTCCTTGCTATCTCAATTGATGCATCTTCACAACGTCATCGACTGATATCTCCTCCTTACGTAAACACTCAACGCTTAACCTCAATAGAGTGAATACTCTTATATATATTCACTTCACGTTACATTAACAACCAAATTACAATAGCATACATAATATTTTCACTTATGTGATGCTTAAGCCTTAAAATCTAAGAGTCCACCTAAATCCTTCTTACTGAGTAGTCGGGCACTCGAATGGAATGTTTCCAATGAAGTTCCTAAGAAGCCTGTTGAACAGCTTGTTAACCCAGATAGATGAAGGATGATCCACTGTTCATTGTATCAGGTTGCAATGAAGATTTACATAGGCACAAACCATAACATTGACTCCAGTGGCTTTTCTACTTACGTCTAAATTATTCATACCTCAGAAAAGTTACGCTACATACTACTTATATTGACATATTAGTGGGACACGAAAACATAAGACTAAACTGTTTGTTTGGATTGAGGATTTCATCATGAGTTGACACCAGTTAGAGAACCATTGGAAAACCACCTAGGAGTACTGGGCAGCTGTTTCATCAGTCTAATTTGAGACTCTTCATCAGCACGCACTCACACCACGAGGTTCGATCCCAGGACCTTCTGGTTACAAGGCTAGCGAGCTCGTAGACCATTAAGCCACTGGGACCCGATCCAATGACTAACCCATGAATTCTAACTTCTGCGAATTCACGACATAACGCGACCGCTTCGCAATGTCTTCTTCGATGAGTTACTGCCTGACCTTCAGCCTGCTGCACTCTACTGATTACGGCTTCCCACTAGAACCTTAGGTCACTGCCTGAATTGGGCCAGTCGCTAGTGAGGGTACAGCAGGTTGAAGATGAGGTAGTAACTCATCGAAGAAGACATTGCGAATTGGTCGCGCTATATCGTGAATCGGCAGAAGTTAGAATTCATGGGTTGGCCATTGGATCGGGTCCCAGTGGCTTAATGGTCTACGAGCTCGCTAGCCTTGTAACCAGAAGGTCCTGGGATCGAACCCCGTGGTGTGAGTGCGTGCTGATGAAGAGTCTCAAGTTAGACTGATGAAACAGTTGGCTGTCCAGTACTCCCAGATTTTCCAGTGTTTTTCTAACTGATGTCAACTCATGATGAAATCCTCCATCCAAACAAACTAAATCCCTGCAAAACCAATAGTTGAAAATTTTAATTATGACTGTGAGGTCAATGATAGAGACCAGCGTCAAATAGATTAACCAAATCTAGACTAGTAGACAAAGAAATGATAACATCAAGAAAAAGGAGTTTGAACCGTCAATATTACTGCCATGCAAAGAGGGAACTTCTGAAGGCATACATAGGATTCTTAACAAGGTTAGGAATATAAGTGACAGTCAAACTCACCACACTTCACTTAGAAATCAATTATGTCGACCAAAGGATCCCGTAGAGTTCCTTCAACTGATTACTTTAGTTTATCTAATACTCTGCTGGAATGACTGTCAAGTCAAACTAGTAGTGGAATTGAGTTAATCAGACTAGCGGAACACAAAATCTTGATTGGTTACACCCTAATAAGGTAGGAAATCTAAAAAATAACTCATATACACATAATACTATAGGCAGTTCCATACAACCATGTAATAGGATGTAGCACGGAGATGGTGTTAAAATCCAGTGTAAAAGTGTCGACGAAGAAGAGATTGATAACTGAAGTTCGATTCATCAAATCAACTGAGAATCTGTTCAATAGGAATGATTCGGTACCTGTCCACGAGGAACATCTACAAAATCCTTTTGACCTTATGACAAGTAGTACACACGGCAAGAGAAGAGAGTGAAGAGAGATTCATCAAAAGAGAGACAGATAATAAACACAAGTGTGAGTGAAGGGAAAGTACTTTGATTGGATATGACTGGTGAATCACAGAGAGTGAATGCATCTTCCCCAGCCATTGACAACGAGGATTTTCAATCATATCACCAATTTCCTACAGCCTTCATTGGTTTTCACCATCATCCCGAGGACTCCGACCAGTCAGTCAGTCGGTGAGGAAGTCTACACCTCCCTACATGGGTGTGTGGCTGGCCATCTGGCTGACTTGAACTAACTGTTATGCATTCGACTGACTGATGAAGTCATCTTTCAGTTTGACAACCACCACTTGCTGGTTCTTTTCCAACTTGTTCTATCCTATGTCAGTCAGCTAACATTGTCCGTCCATCGTGGAGGGTGACTGATGGCTATGATAGGAACGCGTAACACATGTCCTAACATGTCATTCGATGTGACTTCACAACCTTATTGGTTGATTTTCTCTCCTTATCTCACTCACACTGGACGCCTAATTTGAATAATACTCATCCTATTGTAGCACCAGCTGTCACAGGAGATAGATAGATAGATAGATAGGTAGATTTGATGAACAAAGATTCAATGACCACTCTGTTTCTTCACCTGTCCTGTGATGCTTCTTATATCTGGAGCTCTGTTCCATTCCCTATTGTTTTATTGTCCAGGTTTTGCGTCCATTGAAATAAGCTGAGTCGTGTGTTTTTCTAAGTTCATAATTATTTTGGAGAGTCAATCATTGTTCACTTAGCTAAATTGCCATGTATTCATACAACTTTTTTTTTACCTAAATCTACTGAAGTATTGACCTCTGTTGAAATTGACCTCACGATGACTGTGAGATATTTTTGTAGATAAGGCTATTTTATTTGATTATTGGGTCAATCGGTTGAGTTGGTATACTGTAAAGTTTGTCCTTGAGTAGTGTGTGTGGATTTACAGTTTTCAAGGGGCTTCTATTACTGATGACCACCCGTCAACCTAATTGTAATTCTAATGTCACACGTTGGTTTCTGAGGCTTTTAAAAAAGTGTTTTACAATGCCATAAGGTTATTTGTTGTCTCTGTTATATTACTTAGTTGTTTTAACATTTGAAGATGGCCTGAGATGTTGTCAATTTGACGAGTTTTCCACAGCAGTGCTGCTACGTATGTTAATTATGATGATATAAATTGTTATCACATATGAATACATCATAATTGAGGGAATACGTCTCACTTACTTTAGAATTTAAGTTTTCGCTTATGTCACTTTGAAATAATAGAGAAGATTTGTAGCTCAGATGGATGATTTGTAGTAGTTAGTAGTTTTCTCTGAGCTGGTTGGTTTAGTTGCGGAGCTTTCGTCGTCCCCTGTACGGACAACATCCCCTTTCAGCTCAATTTTTAGCATAAACTGAACTGATTTAAATTTCTTCATGGGTGATATGATTGCGTCTCCCGGTAACCATCTTTACATATGTATTGATCATTTCCTATTGTCTTGGATTTTAAACTTTCTGGTCACGTGATTTATTTTTTATTAGTTGGTAGATTCGGTTTATATTAACATGTTTGTTAATCGTATATTCGTTTGAGTATCACTGTCCACTGAGCCTATAAGACAACTGATTGAGGATCAACATTGGTGCTATTTGGTAGATGGTGACTATTTTTTATTTTTATTCCTTCACGTTCCCCAGTGGAACATAGGGCTTCAAGCTAGATGCTTGAAGTTTTGGTAGTAGTGGTTTTTATTTTTACAGGATGAGGTTGCTAGCCTCACGCCTAACCTTTCCTCTTTACCAGCTATATTATTGGCTTAGAGAGGTAAAGGAGTGCGTCGGCCGAGGATCGAACTCCGGACCATGTGCATGGTCGGCGAACGTCCTAACCGCTGTACCACCGACGCACAGATGGTGACTAACAGCAGTAGAATCCAGGATGCGCATTTCCTTCCATTTGGGACTCACCAGCTAAATGTACCTGCATTGCCCAGTGAGATACAAAACCAGTGCCCATCGTTTCACACACCAAAGCTTTATCATAGCCCAACTGGTATTATAGATAACGCTTTGGAGTTTGAAACGATGACGACTGGGTTTTTAACTCACTAGAGAATGCAGGTACATTTGGCTGATGAGTCCCAAATAGGACGAAATGCTCATCCTCTATTCTACTGCTGCTAGTCATCATTGACTAAATTACTTTACCTGGATATATTTGTAACCTTCATTATGTAAAAAATATCGATTAAACATTAAAAGTTATGTGCTCATTTCTTGTTTTCTTTCACCCTCCTCCCCTCGCCCTCGCCACCCCGCTCGTCCCATATAGTTCTTTCTACCAATTCGTCAAATCATCTGGTATCCATTTTTACAGCATTGTTTAATTATAAGCATATATACATCAGTAGTCGGGCCATTTGGTGGATTTTTCGCTAGTGGTTTTAAACGTGCATTTAAAATTAAAGATTTTGGTGATTTATTCCCTGGACACGGTGGTGTAGTCGATCGTTTCGATTGCCAAGTATTAATTGGAACATTCGTATTATTCTATTATAATTCATTTGTTCGGTAAGTCCTAGCTAGTTGTGTTATTGTTGGTGTGTTGTGGTTCTATCTTTTTTCTTTTTTTTTTCTCTCGTTTATTGATCGGCAATTAGTTCATGTGGAAGAGTTGTCATCTGAAATGATTAACGATCAGTAGTGTCGGTGAACAATACTCTCTGTCGCCACCTTCGTATAATTTCATCATAGATGTATACTGATGGGGTTGACTTTAGCGAATTAGGGACTTTTATTTATTTTTTATGAGTTGTTCATGGATTGATATCAGTTACAGAACCATTGAAAACACTCCAGGGAGTACTGGACAGCTGTTTCATCCTAGTTTGGGAATCATCGGCAGTATGCACCCACCACAGGAGTTCGAATCCAGGACCTTCCGGTTACAAGGCACGCTAACTCGTATACCATTCAGCCACTGTAACCCGATTCACTGGCCAGCCCATGAATTCTAACTTCTACCAATTCGTGATTTAGCGTGACCACCAACCAACCGATGTCATCGGTGGGACATACATCCTCACACTTGACCTCTGGATGAACCTAACTGGTCACGAGTTCTCACTAGAACTCCAGGAAACTCCATCCTGTAGCAAGCCACTAGCGAGCATCAGATTAACTTTCTATAGTTTGGTTTGTAAGGGTTAGTTTCGTTTTTTACGAGTTGATCACGGACTGATATCAGTTAGAGAACCATTGGAAACCAGCCATAGGGAGTACTGGGCAGCTGTTTCATCCTAGTTTGGAAATCATCGGCAGTACGCACTCTTTTATTTGGAACGTTTAAGTAGCTTAAAAATTCCCATTGAGTCGTATGAAAAAGAGAAGATGTTCAGCGAAGAGACTCTTTTCCACGGCGAATTCATTCACATAGATGTAGAATCGTTTTTATATATAACTACTTTTGTGTGTGTGTGTGTGTGTGTGTAAATGAGGTTTGTCAAGTTTAGATAATTAATTAGGTAATACAAGAATGATCTTATGTAGAAACAAGGTTAATTAGACAGCAACTAAAGTAAGATTGAGTTAGTAAGTTATTATATTTTTATATTGTATATTGTAATATTTTACATTTTCAACCTTCTTGTTCTCTACCTCCACCCGATTTAATTTCTACACCTCATTACCACTGTTACAGACTTGACCAACGCTCAATTTCTAGTCATTTATGTTACGTCACCCAACTTATTTGCTCAATTTTAGTTCTAATTTAAATGGCATTATTCTCTACCCCACGTCTACTTAGTCTCTACCTGTAATTACCTCTGTTGCTATCCTGACCTAAGTTGTAACATTTTAGCCAATTATATTACGTCATCTAACTAACTAACTACCTCAATCTTACTTTAGTTGCTGTCTGATTAACTTTGTCTCTATACTACATCATTCTTGTATTACCTAAATAATTATCTAAACTTGACAAACCTCATCTACACATACACACACACACACAAAGTACTTATACATAAACGCGATTGTACATGCGATTGTGAATGAATTCACCATCGAAAAGAGTCTCTACGCCCAACGTCTTCACTTTTATTTATTACCAGGACATGAAAAGTCTTCTGAACACCTTGAGGAGCAGCAATCTTTGAATGTTTGGCATGAGATTTGATCTTGTCAGTTGTGAGATGATACTATGAGACTAGACTGGACTACACTGCACTGCACTGCATCGACTCCTAGCTTAAAAACATTGGGGGGGGGGGGGGTAAAGTGGTAGAGTGTGTTAACCACTTCATTTATTTAGGAAGTTGCATCAACTCCAATGGTCTGATTGCTGTTGACGAAATCTCAGCATAGATATTTGAAAAGCTGGTATGGGATTCTTCAACTCACAACATCTTTGGCTTAGACAACATATTCAGCTTTCCATAAGTGGTCATGTGCACTGCACAGTAGTTCACTGTATATATATATATATATATATATGTATGTATATATATAGACGACTGGTACGTAAAGAGAAAAAGTTTGATCGATAAACTGACGAAGTCCATTATCGATCGAGATGGACTAGACACATGTGTTACGCGCATGCCTAGGCATCGCCTTCCTCCGATGGGTAATGTTAACTGCCGCATAGGATTTTCGATTGGGAAAGAATTAGATGTAGTCAAATCAAACATCAATTATACATGAAGACGTCGTCAACTCTTGATTTGTGAATGAGTCATGTAGGGAGATGTGGACTGCCGTTTGGCTTACAAGAGTTGTTCAGATGGTGTGGTTGAGAATTATTCACGTTTTGCGATCTCTCAGATCCATCAAATCCTCAGTTTGGTCTGTCTTCCTCTCTCCCCTCACATATGCTATGATAAATCACAAAGAGTGAATGCATATATCTCCACTGAGAACAATTTTGAGCCATGCCACCAACTGTCTCCATCCCTCATTGTTGGTTTATAGAATTCTGAGTACCCCCAACCAGTCAGTCAGTCAAGTAGTCTAAACTTCCTTATGTGTTTGGTTCAAGCTGACTGTCAAAACTTTCATGGAGTGATAGGAAGTTTTGCTTTGATCATCACTAGTTCTTTTTTCAACCTAAACTAATATTGGCCGTCGTGGAAAATGATGGCTAAGCAGGCATCCGCACACAGGTGGTGTCCAAGCCATCACAATTGATGTAGATTCACAACAACATTGATTAACTTCACTTCCTTGCCTAACTCTCACTCAATGCCTAACCTCAATATTACCCACTATAGTATACTATACTACTTAACAAGCGAGATAGATCACAAACCTCTGTGATCAAAAAGAGCTTACCGGCTTTTTCATGTATTCCACTATTAATGGTGGCCATGTCTCACTAACAGCGATAAAGGAGGACCGCGAAGAGTGCTACTGGATATCACGTCTATATCAAAGATGACTTAGCTTGGCAAATACCATACTTGCCTTTAATCGTTTTTTCTGTGAATTGGCACCCTTTCAACTATCACAGTGTTTGAGCAAAGGATATCCTCCTCGATAATTTCCTCTTCTGGCTCTACAATTATATACGTATATGTTTATATACATAGAATATTCTAGAATAGTAGTCAATAACAATATTAGTGGTTTTTTAAATAATATCGATTTGTTAAGTAAGATCACAATGGAATTACAGTTCATTAAAGATGCTTAAATTATAATAATAATAAAGATATAATAGCAAATAGAATATCAACTAAAATTAAGGAAATTTCTACAACAAATTGAGGATCATTCAAACCTAGATGGCCAAGCGGGTAAGGATAATGTCTGAACTAACTTCTTTTGGATGCATAAATTAGGCTTCTTAATATGGATCCCAACAGCCTCAGCAATATTCAGTAATCGAACTCTTAAGGCGAAGTTAAGATTAGTTGGTATGCGGTAAATGACTTTGAAAGCTGCCTCGTTGACATCAATCTTGTGTTCTGTATCCACAAGATGAGTGAGATAGAATAGCGCTGCGAATAGATTTTGTTTGTCCTTTACTTAACCACTATGCAGGGTGATGTTCAGAAATTCGATGAGAAAGACGCCTAATTGTACGGCCTATGCAACTAACTGGCTCCATAGGAGCAGTTAAATTGGTAGATACACATGGAAGAGGAGAAATTAGGCAGTTTATCTTTTACTCCCGAACGCAAAATAGGGTTGGGTGGTTTTGAAGACACAGCGTAATTCGGCAGCAGGGAATGCTCCTTTTACGCATTTCTAAGGCATTGTGTTAGTATCTCGCTGATGTTATCCCCGAGGAACTGAATTTGTAAGAATAAGGTTTTTTTGAAACTGTTGGTAACTTGGGTTGCTGTGATTTTAGATTCATTTTCTTATCAATCCACTTTTCTGGATAACCATTTTCACTTAGCAATCCTTTAGTATTATCAAGTTCCTCATCAAGACATTCCCCCTAGCAGATTGTTTTGGCTGTGTGAACCAAGCACTTTATCAGATTGCGTTTGTATTTCAAGGGCACGAAGCTGAGAAAATGAGTATACTGACCCATTACTATATCTTTATTATTATTTTAATTTATGCAACTTTAATGAACTGTGGTAATTCCATTGTGATCTTACTTAACAAATCGATGTTATTTAAGGAAAATCATCATTGTTATTGACTACTGTTCTAGAATATTCTATGTATATGAACACACACGTATATAATTGTAGAGCCAGAAGAGGAGGAAATTATCGAAAGTGGGATATTCTTTGCTCAATTATTTTGTGTTTTATAGATGTCTGAATGAATATTTTCGCGTGGTTGGGCTACTGATATCCATGCTGAAAATTCCATACTTGTACTGAAAATACGTTGTGGCATCAAGCTGTAATCAAAATAAAAAAATAAAAATAAAAAAAATAATATATCACAGTGTTGTGCAAAGTTGTTTTTACAGTGAAAGTGTAATTCAGTTCGTGTAACCTGTTTTCGTTTTTTTTGACCTTACGAATTCGTTTTTTTATTTATTTATTTATTTAGCGGAAATAGCGATAGTGTGTATTGTGCATGTTAGTTCACGTTATACTTAGCAGTTGTGTATGACCTCAAACAAATCAATATATATATATATATATATATATATATATATATATAATCATTTTATTCTGTCCTAATATTCCGAATGGACACTGTATTGATTAGGCGTGTAAATGTGATCAAAGGGTCAAGTATTTAATTTTTATTTTATTATAGCGTGATTCCACACTGTATTTTTTGGTACAAGTTTACGGAATTTTCAGCATGTGATATGGATAGCCCAAATTTAACAGGCTGACCATTGATAGATATCAGGTGTACGTTGGCCGGGTATCGAACCCCGGGCCATGTGCATGGTGGTCAGCGAGTGTCCTAACAACTCTGCCACCGACGCTAGGGCATCTTAATGTGGACATCCCTATTGTTATTATTATTGTTCCCTTGGGTTCCTAGTGGAACATAAGGCTTCAACTGCACCTCTCCACTTGCTTCTGCCTTCTCCTGTACTTTTCACCAGCATCCATGTTAGTCTATTCTGTTTCAACTCTTCCTTC